AAAAAAAAAAAAAAGAAATATATGAATCAATGAGTGCTTTTGCAGAGAAAACCACAGACAACCTTTCTTAACTAACCAACCAATTCACCTTAATAGCAAATGCCATCAAGTCTTTTGTACCTGACTGAAGCCTGTAAGAATCATCCTATATGATAGGAAGGTATTTCTGCATAATTTTAATTAATTAAGTCAATAAATATTTACTGTGCACCTAATGTGCACCAAAGGAGCCCTCCTGGCACAGTGATTAAGTGCTTGGCTGCTAACCAACAGGACTGTGGTTTGAACTAACTAACCATCCACTTCATGGGAGAAAGATGTAGCAATATGTCTCCATAAAGATTATAGCCTTGGAAATACAGAGTAGTTCTACTCTGTCCTACAGAGTTATGAGTCGGAATTGACTCTATGGGAACAGTTTTTTTTTTTTTTTGTAATGTGTTCTAGGAATAATTTCAGGAGATGGGGTATATTAGTAAATGAAATAAGGCCATCTACCCTTCTGATCCTTATATTCTAGTGGCAGGGCTGGGGGGCAGCTAGTGAGACAGGAACATACAACAAATATAATAAATAAAATTACATCATAGGTTAAAAACACACTGCCGTCAAGTTGATTCTGACTCAGTTGGGTTTCTGAGGCAGTAAATCTTTACAGAAGTAGATTGCCTCATCATCCTTCTGCAGAGAAGCTAGTGGGCTTGCACCAACAAACTTCAGGTTAGCAATCAAATGCCTTAGGCACAGAGCCACCAGAGCTCCTTATATCATAGGTCAGATGGTATTAAGTACTATGGGGAAAAAAAAGAAAAAGAAAATACAGACCAGGGTAAGGAGAATCATAACTAAAGGGATAGAGATGGAGGAAGGGGTTTGGGTAGGCTGCTCTTTTAAATAAGGTATCAAAGTAGGACTAGTGCTCATATAAATGGTGATATCTGAGCAAGGCCTTGAAGGAGAGAAGCATGAATTTCACTGTCTCTGGATACTGGATTTAATTTTCTCTGAGGGGGTAATATATCAGACAACAATATATATCTGAAAATGGTGAAAAGGAGTTCAAATATGCTTTTGTTTTGTTTGTTTTCACTTGGGGGACAGGATGAGTTCCCAATTTTTGATGAACATATTTTAAATAATTCTAAGTTTTATGGTAAAGTATGGCTTCCTGAACTTGGTATCTGCATATAATTACATTGTGGCTAAAAAAGACTTTATGTGACTGACAATTTCATTTCACGTGATTAAAAAGTCAACATACGGAATGTGTTCAAACATCTACCTAAAAGTATGGCCGAGTGAAACACACATGACAGTTATGACTTCTGTGATTTTGTCACCTAAACCTAGAACAGTGCTTGGCCACTGATATACACTCAATAAATATAATTTAATGAAGGAAGCAAAGAATGGCCATGACAGAAAGGTTGTGTGATAAGGTGATGAGATCCAGATCATAATATGAGAGGTTTGACCTTTTCATATGCTTGATGGGCAAAATTTGACTTTCAACCTAAAGCAAATTCTTTTTAAGAAAACCACATTATAATAAAATGTTTACTAAATGTCTATATATTTCTAAGCCTAGAAAGAGCTGTTGGTTGAATCTAATATTTTAGAAGAGGAGACTGAAGGCAATTTATGTAAGGTGTATTTTATTTTTCTATCTCACTATAGAGTCAGCAGCTGATAATATGTTAAAAGACTCAAGAGAGCCAATTAAAAGTCCTAGACACAAACAATTAGACCCTCAACATGTAGTCATTCATCTGTAGATATGTATGTATATCCATGTGTTCTGGATACCTCAAACCCACCAGCCGCTCCTAGGAAGGAAGGTTGGGCAATCCTACTTCCATAGTGATAACTGCCTCGGAAACCCAAGGAGGGGTCGCTAGGAGTCGGGGCCGACTCGATGGCAAATAACAACAACAGTGCCACTTTGACAGGAAATATATCACAAATGGGATGGCCTTAACAAACAGGAGTTTATTCTT